ACCACTTCAGTGAACCTTGTGCCTTTCTTAGCCGAGCAACTTTTGCTGCCGAGACACATGGCTATAGCTGGAGATGTCCTCCATGCAGTGTTTAAAATAGCAAGTCAGAATGAACAGAGCAGGGAGAACCTGCACAAGACATGTGCCAAGGTAGCCGTGCTATAAATAGGAGAAAAGAGAATGGAGGGGAAAGGTTGAAGGCTCGGCCAAAACACTTGGTATTAATCCAGACCCATTCCCAGGGCACAGTGAGAAAACGAATTCTCTCTTTCATAGCTTTACAATACGCATGTATGTATTTATATGCTTCTGTGTGAATGACATGTGCAGGGTCCAGAACATGGGGAAACTGACTTGCTGTGGAGGCTGGATCACTCTCATGACTGAGCAGCGAGCAGTTTTACCCACTGAGCCATTGCTCCAGACTCCTGTTTCTTTTCTTTTTCTTTTTTTCTTTCTTTTAATGGCCTGGCTAGTCTGGTGTGTGTTTGTGTGTGTGTGTGCAAGTGTGTGTGTATAATTTTTATGATTTATTTAACTTTATTTTATGTGCCTTGGTGTGGAGGTGTCAGATCCCTTGCAACTGGATTTTCAGACAGTTGTGAGCTGCCACGTGGGTACCGGGAATTGAACCCAGGTCCTCTGGAAGAGCAGTCAGTGTGTTCTTAATTGCTAAGCCATCTCTCCAGCCATGGATTCACGTTTCTGACATCACTTTATTTAAGATCACATGGCTCATTCCTGTTGAATTCTAAGTGGTTCTATAAAGCTGAGCTTCCTCCTGATAATGAGGATGGGTCTTCTGAAACATGAGCGGCTAACATGTCTGCTTCTTGTGTTTCCCTGAAAGAGAAACAGCAGCATTGTGGACCCTCCAATTCCCAGCACGAAAACATCCCTTTGAGTTTCTGTTCAAGAGAGTTACCCCTTTAAGGTTCCGATGTAAGAATAGTGTGTGCTATGTCAGGATAACCACTCTGCAGCTCAGACAAATGTGCCCATTTCCCTCTGCCTACAAGGGGTTGACTCACCAGTGAGAGATGTCCGGGGCCTCAACATGTGCATTCTTCTCTGCTGTCTCTCAGAAAAGGGGAAGCAGACTCTGGAAAGGCTGCCCCAGTCCTTATGAGCGTTCAGTGACTCTTCCTGGCCGTCTGCCCTGCACTGGGCAAACAGTGTGCTGAGCAGCTGCCAGGGAATCTGTGCACCACAGGAGCCCTCATTGTCCCGGAGATACCCACACCGCCTTCTCTGCAGCAGGGAGGAAATTTCCAGAAGCTCCCAGGCACAATTGCTCGTCTATAGTCTGGCTTGATTTAGTTAATACTTAATCTACTGTGAGGCCAACGTTATGTTTTAATTACAACGCCTAAGAGATCCAGAAAACAAAACAAAAAAACGCCTCTAACCTATAAGCCCCACTTGCCCAAGGGCAGATAACTTTCTAGCATGCTGGGGGCTGTTGTTCGTGTAAGATAACAGGACACATATTTTCACATCTCTAGAGAAGGCTGGCTGCCCCAACTACACAGGATGTGCTTGGTTGCATTATGTCAGGGCATTATGTCAGGATGTATTCTTGCTCCTGATTGGATGAAGGTGGGATGTACAAAGCCTTGTGGGGTTCGCCTTTATAAGTACCTAACTAATGTCATTTTCGGGGATTCTCTGGGAACCCCAGGTGTGGACATGACCAGTGTCCATCACCCTGGCCGGTACTGAATAGTTTCCTTCAAATTTGGCTCAAAAAATTATGGTGGTGCTCTTATTCTGGCCCAGTGAGATTAACACTGGCTTAGTAGTTTTATATTGCCAAAAGTTATTTCAGGGGAAGATTTTAGATTCTGTAAACATTCAACCAAGTCTGTAGTGAGTGTTATGGATTTTGAAAGCTAAAATGGGATCCCACAGTGAAGGAGGGGAATTCTACGAATTACATATTCCGTGCTCTAAGGCTGTGCTTAATTTTTGTTTTGTAGAGTTCTCAGTCTTATCACAGCATGGCGGAGAATCAAAGGAGTTCAAGACCGAGGAGTGGGTACAGGCATGTTGAGCCCTATCCCCATCTATCTGAAGTACTATGCTGGTGCAGCCCTGACACCCAGTGCTCACAAAGGAGGCAGCAGCCCCAGGATTTCAGGGTCTCTCTAGCTATGTATTGAGCTAGAGACCAGCCTAGGATGCATGAGAACCGATCCAAGGGGACAATGGGGAGCAGGAACAGAGTCAGGGCGCTTTGGGTACAGGACCCTGAAAGTTAATATTTCCAGGATTTCTAGGCATGTCAGTGAAGGAGTTCCCAGACATGGTAAACCGAGATGGAATGACCCACCCCAACTGTGGGCACCGTTTCATTTATTTAGTCTGTGGTCCCATACTCAGCCAAAAGGGGAATACAAACTGAACCCAGGCCTTTGTCTCCCTCTGTTTCCTAAATACACAATCTGACCAACTGCCTCACGTTCCAGCAGCCTTGATGTTTCCACCGCGATGGACTGGATCTCTTCGAACTGTGAGCCAAAGTCAACCCTTCCATCCTTATGTTGCTTTTGTAAGGTGCTCCTTCTCGATGCAGTGAGAAAGTAGCTGATACCACATGGATCCTTCACACACATGTACACAGTGTGCACTAACCATGCATGTCTACAAAGCCATCTGGTGTAGGAGGTTCTTCTGTTTGTGTGTTGCTTTCATTGGTTGGATAAGGAGACTTTTTGATAGGGCATCCCTTAAGTGGGCAGAGTAGACAGAACAAAATGCTGGGAAGAAGGCAGTGTGGCAGATGCCATGAATCTCCGGCCTGAGATGGACATAGGTTAGATCTCTCCCAGTAAGCCACAACCTTGTGGTGACATACAGATTATTAGAAATGGGTTGAATCAAGATGTGAGAGTTAGCCAATCAGAGCTAATGGCCAGGCAATGATTTAATTACTACAATATCTGTGTGGTTATTTCGGGGGTTAAGCTAGCTGGGCAGTGGGACGCAGCCTGCACCTCTCACACAACAGCATCTGCTTCATTTGCAGCCCCGTCCAGGGGTCAGTCCTCTTCTTTAAGTGCATCCCAGTTTACTCTGGCTTAAAGGAGGGAGTGGATTTAGTATTGGAAGATCTGAGGGTTCTCTGGCTCTTAGCACTGTTGAATAAAGAGCATCAGACCACAGGAGGAACGCCTTTTACTCCCCCCGCTTTACCCGTGTTCAACTCAGTTCCAGTATTTCTCTTCTGATGGCATCAAAGATCACTCTCAGGACCTTTGAGCTGTCTCACCCAGAGACACAGAAGAAACAAGAAATAAATTTCAGTTGGATGTGGTGGCACATGCCTTTAATTCCAGCCCTCAGGGGGCAGAGGAAGGGTGGATCTCTGTGAGTTTGAGGCCAGCCTGGGCTACAGAGCAAATTCTGGGCCAGACAGAGCTACACAGAAAGACCCTGTCTAGAAAACAGGGTCCTGGCATTCCTGCTGCTCTCTAGGAAAGAACCCACTTGAGGTTCATGGGTTGTGTTTCCACACTTAGGCAGGAAGAAATCACCCAACCATGCAGCCAGGGCTCATGTGCCAATGTTGGTGGAAAGGAACAATATTGCCAATGTGTGACCAGACCATGGCCTCTGGTGTGTTCTCATGGTTGGTATACACATTCCATCTTGGAGAAGTAACAGGACAGCATGCTCAACCTTCCCATCGCATCTTCTCAGGTGGTCCATGCTTCATCCATTCCTTCACAAGGGTGTTCACCCCTGGCCATTGATTAATGTGTATTGGTTGTCTCGTGCTATTATAACAAGATGCCAGGAATAAGTTTCTCATAGTTCTGAGGAAGTCTAAGGTAGAAGTTTGAACATGGCTGGCTGCCTTTTTATTCACATGGTTTTTCCCTGGTCTGTGTGTTCTGTGCGTCATCTCCTTCATAGGTCAACAAGTCGTACTGGGTGAGACTCTTCCTATAGGACCACATTTTACCCAGTGACTCCTTTAAAGTCGCTGTCTCCACAGTAGCATTCCATTAACTAGCATAGACGACAGCATTATTGTTCTCTTATGTTCCATGAAAGAGATATGTGTTCAAACACAGCAACATGAAATGGATTCAGTAATTCAAGCCTTACCAAATACTAAAAGTAAAAAGAAATAGGAACGTCTCTTTCTGAGAAAAAAAAAAAGTAAATCAAACAAAGGGTCACTTTAGCAAAGCTGAATGTGATCCTTCACCACCGCCCTGATCTGGTTTTAGGAAGAGTCAAACCCGAAGCAACAACAGACCCAGAGGGAAGAGGAGAAAGAAGGGAAGATGCTGGCCACCAGGGACAACCGCTGGCCACCAGTGTCCTTTGGATCTAATCGGCTAGAGAGCACTGACAATGCCTGCCAATCTAGCCACGTTACCTAAGATTGCTTGAGTCGCCTGCTTTAGGTGGGGTTTGTAGTGGGTATTCACCCCACCCACGACCTTCGGCTGACCTTCCTCTGACCTTTACTATCCCTTTAAATGGAGTCCCTACTATTCCTTTAAATGAGCTCTCCTGGACTCAAGGACCAGATTCCAAACAGCCAAGCTGCACACCGAGGTGAGAAACAGAGTGGTGGCTGATGTCCTGGGCTGTCTTAGTCAGGGTCACTATTGCTGTGATGAGACACCAAGACCAAAAGCAACTTGGGGAGGAAAGGGTTCCTGGAGGCAGGAACTGATGCAGAGGCCATGGAGGGGTGCAGCTTTCTAACAGAACCCAGGATCACAGCCCAGGGGTGGTACCACACACAATGAGCTGGGCTCTCCCACATTGATCACTAATTAAGAAAGCGACCTGCAGGCTTGCCTACAGCCCAACCTTATGGAGACATTTTCTCAGCTTAGGCCCTCTCTTCTGATGATTCTAGCTTGTGTCCTGTTGATATAAAACTAGCCAGTGTATGTCCAATAAAATCTGTTGCTGAAACAAAAACACTTGCTACAGGAAAAGAGGGAGACGCGGAGGAAGAACAATGCAACACACACTTAAAAATATAAAATTTATTCATAGTCAGTAAGACAGTTCACTTTCTGTATAGGGTTTCTCTGGAGGTTCCTAACGCCTCAAGAGCTCGCCGCGGAAATATATTGCTATCATCAAATATTGCTCATGCTATTGGACTCGGAGAAAGCTTGTTTCCCCTTTAAAAACGTTAAGGCTCAGTTTCCAAAAGGTAATTATACCACTTAGTTTTCTGCTTAAAAGGCCGGGAAAGTTTGGGACTAAATCACTACAGTGAGGTTGGTGGGGGCACAGGAAGCAAGCTCTGTATTCACTCACTTCCTACTGAAGATAGTGTGATTGTTTATTAAAGGCTCCTTCCCTTTTAAAAACAAAAAGAAGAAAATCCTAAGACAAAGGGGATCTTTAGCATACGAACAAGAAAAGCTAACAGGGCTTTTCCCACTGCTGCTGGAACAAAGGCGAACAAACACCACTCCTACACATTTCTTAAATAAATATAACCAATCAACATCTCTCTTGCAACACACAGAAAAAAAAAATAATCTCCATTCAATTCCTTTCAGATCAGGTGACCACAGATTTGCCCTTTTCCCTAAAAATAATCCTCCATTTTTCTCCCATTCTTAGGGCAGAATGCAACCATAATTGTGCCTGTAAGGCATGAGCTGTGGTGAGATTTCACATATGATACTGACATCAGCAGCTAGGCAAGGTGGCACAGGCCTGGAGTCCTAGCACTTGGGAAGTGAAGCCAGGAACAGTCAATAGTTCCTGGCCAGTCTTGACTATGTAGTGAGTTTGAAGCCAGTCTGGGCTATATAAATAACACCCTGTCTCAAAATAATAATAAAGGAGATTAAAGGGAGGAGGAAATCGAATTGCAGAGTTTGGGGTTGTTTGTGAGAATTACCTTATTAACAAGTTCCAAGCACGCTTTAGAAGCACTTTTTTTTTGCACACAAAGATTTCATTCAATCATCAATGACATGTCGTATTACATACAAAGATTTCATTCAGTCATCAACAACACATCATTTTACAAAAGGCAGACTCTGTTTCCACGCAGAAGCAGCCTTACAACGCACTGAGTTCACAGTCTAACCAAGATGTCAGAAAAGGGCACCTGTAGGTTCTGTCTCCGGCGTGAAGAGGTAGAGACAGTCATCCGGTAGAAAAGACTAACAATAAACGAGCAAAGAGCCGCACAACAAAACGACGCTATACAGCGTCTCTCCTGAAGGCCAGCTCTGGGAAGCCACGCTTATCCGCAGTGCTCAGTCCAGGTCCAGGCTGGGAGAGCCATTGCCCACGATCATCTTGCTGTAGTTCTTCTGCTGCTCTTCCTTAAAGGTGTCCTTCACCTTTGCTCTCTTCAGTCCTCCATCCCTGCGGACAGAGAAGTACACATAGGAGGATGCTCTGCCAGTGAAGACATGGGGTCCCATGCTCACACATGCCTCCTGGAGCCAGGACGCCCTACAGAAACCGGAGGAGCAGATAGATGCCTCCTGGAGCCAGGAC